GGTTAGTGGGAAGATTGATATATTTGTCACATACTCGACCATACATTGCTTATGCAGTGAGCGTTGTCAGTCATTTATGCACTCTCCAAGTGAAGACCACATGAATGCAGTTCTTCGGATACTTAGATATTTGAAGTCTGCACCTGGAAAAGGACTTATGTTCTCAAAGCATGGTCATCTAAATATTGATGGTTATTCAGATGCAGATTGGGCAGATAATGTAACAGATAGAAAATCCACATCGGGTTACTTCACATTCGTGGGAGGTAATTTGGTGACATGGAGGAGCAAGAAACAGAATGTAGTAGCTTTATCCAGTGCAGAAGCCGAGTTTAGAGGCATGACTAAAGGGATTTGTGAACTTCTTTGGTTAAGAAAGTTGCTTACTGAACTTGGATATAAACCTACATCTACAATGAATCTCTTTTGTGACAACAAGGCTGCTATAGCCATTGCACAGAATACAGTTCAGCATGATCGTACTAAACATGTTGAGGTGGATCGACACTTCATCAAACAGAAGCTTGAGGCTAAAGTGTTTCAGTTTCCTTTTGTGAAATCTGAGGATCAATTAGCGGATATTTTGACAAAGGCGATTTCCAGTAAAGCATTCCACAATTCACTGGATCAGTTGGGCATTGGCGACATCTATGCACCAACGTGAGGGGGAGTGTTGGCGTGACTTGTGGATATTGACTTACTTTCCTTACACACCAAGGATTCCTATTTTATTTGTAATTGATTTACTTTAATTCCTGATTTCCTACTGTAAATAGATTTAGGAATTTATTATTTACTTGCCCATTCAGGTTTTGTTGTATTATAAATATGACCTCCTACAAGGAGAAGAATACATAGAAAATTCCCACAAACAAATATTCTCTCATAGTTTTCATATTTTAGCACAAACTTGAGGCTCCAAAACCTTCTCTCACGTCAGAGCAATTGAAAGCCAATAAACAAGAGCTTAGGGAGAAAGCTCGCAAGAAGAAAGAAGCAAGTAAGAAGAAAAGCAAAAAAAAGACAGAGAAGAAAAGTGGCAAATAAAGAAGAATAAGCTCTGTACTTCATTTTTTGGTTCAAAAGCTCAATATTTATTTTCACAAACAGACAATGCCTTTCAAGTTCCAAGACTTTCAACTAATAATTTAATAGGCTATGTAGTCTACTCTGACATAAATGAGCAAAGGAAAGGACCAACATTGTTTTGATGTCTCTTTGGTTTTGGCATCTCAAACTCAAAGCTCTGAATTGATTATGGCTAATGGGTAGCTGAAGAGATATATAAATTGGTCTAGTTTGAATTTAATTTGAACTACTCCGGATAAAGATGGGAGTGACTAAGTTTGAATTGATCTCTACTACTCCAAATAGATATAAGTTTTTGTTTCAGTTGGCAGCTGCTCTCAAAGCCTTTCTAACGTGGAGTTTTTGTTCATGGGCGAACTAATGGAAATGTCAAGACCTAGAAATAAATTGATGGGTTGACAAAACATATTACCCGTTAACTCTCAAAAGCCCAAAATATTTTATGGGTGGTCCAAATAAATTATGTGGTTAATGGATCAATTTTTAAATCCTCAAAACCATATGTGAGTAAATTAATGGGCTCATTAAAATGCCTTTTAATTTTCTTTGGACATTAACAATAAAAAATGGTACATAACCATTCTAAATTTTCTCATGGGTCATCTACCCGTGCAATTTTCAATGAGATCAAATTCAAATCTCTCAAATATAAAGTTCTTTCAAGGGCTCCTTCATTCTTTAAAAGTCCAATCAAATTCTCAAGGAACTACGTCCGGTTTGATTCCGCGAAGGATACATAGGCAATTTGAAAATTCAATCCAAATACAACCGCAAGTCGAAACAGAATCCCTAGTGTACCTTAACCAAATTCGCCCCAAACACTTTTCTAACTACAAAATCAAATTGAATCCCTGGTCCAACCACGTTCATCCAAATTCCATAAAATATTTTTCATACCACAAATTCTTTTAAGGGGTCATTCATTCCTTGAAAGTCCAATCAAATTATTTGAGAACTACAAATGGCTTGATCCCTAAAATGGGGTATGTAGGCAGTCTAGGATTCCCTAGATGCAGCCGTAACATCAAATCAAATTCCATTATTTATTTCATTCTTCATATTGGAATCAAAGGGTTTTCTCTTTCCAAAGCGATTATTATTAAGACATATTTTTATCTTGAATGGGTCGTACTAAATTAAAAATACAAACTCTTATTTGTAAACAAGAGTGAGACTATGTTGGGTGAATTTTTAATTTCTTTGTTACATTTTTTATCTAACATAATTTTTGGCATGCCTAGTGAGACCCATTCTCTCTTTCATCTCCAAGTGTTGATGAAATGAACTAATATTTTTTTTCTTTTTGTTATGTCTTTTCTTTGTTTAACAGGGAAACGACATGGCACCACAAGTAACTGTATACTTTTATAAGCTTCCTGTAGTCCAATCTGAGGCTAGATCACCAAAACATATCGGTCACCAAGTCACCCTCACTGTGGATCATGCACCAATTGTCAACAATGTTCCGAAGGCTTGCCTAAAGATCAAAACTAGCAAAGCTTTTGTGAAGGTCACTACGACTCAACTAATGAAATCCCCATCCAAAAATTCCATATGGAATGCGAGGAAAAGGGCTACACGAGCTTTGAGGAAGAAAAACGCACAAGCTAACTCATTTTAGCTCATTGAAACTATCCCGGTTGTAGCTGTTGAGACACCTGCATATAAGACTGTTAAGAGTACTCGATGCAAAGTCAATGATTCAATCACGTCTTTAACAACCATGACTCCGATTATCACTCAAATTATGATTGGTTCAATTCCAATCACCTTAACTACCACTGTGTCCGTAATGGTAATCACTACCAAGGAAGATAAGGAAGTTTCACCCAAAACCCCCAAGGACCAAGATTCTGAATCTCATTTAAAAGTTGCAGAGGAATCAATAAGGCTTCCACACTCTGATCATCAACAGTCAGAGGTGTTTGGCCCAAGCAAGTCCAAATAAGGGTCCAAAAATCAAACTGTGGAGGTCCAAGATCACTTGACACAGGGGGCAAGTCCCAAGTCTTTAATTGTTTCGAGACCATATATAGGGCTAGTCACTCGTGCAAGGGCTCGAGCTTTATCACTTCAGTCTCCAGAGGGGTTACCTTTTCAAAGGAACAAGTCAAATTGTCAAGAACAATTAATAACCCAATTCCAAGGGTTATACATAAATGAAGAAAGTGAAAGGTTTGAAAATATACATGTCATGATGACTGGTACAACAAGTGCAGATGAACAACTTCTTGATATGCAAAGGAAGCTTGTTGAAAGGGAAGCAGAAGTGGCAGCGCTAGCAGCTCAATTGGCCGCCAAAGTTACTGTAGATAGCGAAAAGAAAGATGAAGAAAGAAAGGAGGAGGAGATAAGAGAGAGTTCAAATAGCCAAATAAATCATCAAGATATAAAGACTTTAATTGCAGGAGGAATCCGCGAATTCCAGATGTTTATATCACCACCTATCCTCGGATACCGAAAGCCTTATCCAGCTCATTATGATGCGTTGCCTTTCCCCAAGGGTTATCAAAAGCCGACTTTCGATAAGTTTGATGGGATGAGCGGCTCTCCACATGAACATTTAGCTCACTTTTCCTCTGCATGTGGAGAAACTTCACAATTCGACACTTTGTAATAAGGCAGTTCATTCAATCCCTCAAAGGGTCTGCTTTCATATGGTATACTCAATTACCGCCTGGGTCCATTCTAACATGGGACAACATGTAGAAGGTTTTTCTTGCACAATTTGTCAGCTCAAAGAAAAAGGTCTCGCTCATAGATCTGGCCAAAACCACACAAAAACTTGGGGAGAGTGCAAATGATTTTATTATGAGATGGAGCAGTCTTAATCTCCAATGTACTGAAAAGATCACCGAGCTGTCTGCAATGCAGATGTTTTATAACAATCTCCTGCCATAAATTGCAATGTTTGTCGCAACCGCGGAGCCTCAATCATTCGATGCATTAGTGTCAAAGGCGAGTAACATTGAAATACAGATTGCTCATTAGAAGACAACAACAAAAATCTAGATTGGGGAAAAGAAGAATGAAGGCAAGAAAACATTCAAGAAAGGGGAGTCAATGCTACTTTTGTCAAAATAGACAAGAAAAATGACAGAGGAAAAGGGAAAGAAGAAACGAGGAGACTCACTCTTAAAGAAAGGAAGGAAGTCAAGTATACATTTGATGATGAGGATGTTGAAACTATCTTGGATGACCTCCTCGCAGCAAAAGCAATCAAACTTCCAAAACCAAAGCACCCTGCAGAAGTTGATAACACTAATGATTCTAAATATTGCAGGTACCACCGGATTGTGAGTCATCCATTAAGAGATTGCTAAGTGCTTAAAAACATAATTCAAGAAAAAAAAAATCAACAATCATGAGATAGAGGTGGATTCATCTTCAAAGCAGCAAACTACAACATCTAACATGATTGAGGGTGAACTTATTCCTCATGTTTCCTTGCCAGAAGGAGCTATAGCCATAGGATTCCATGTTGACAATGAGGTTACAGTTGTTCATGCATACCCTGATATGCCTCGTCCTAGAAATCCTAATGTTCCTACCTTGTATGACCCGATGACCGACCTAGCCTAGATAATTGGGAAGATTCGTCAGACTTTTCCGATGAGTCCTAAAGTGAATGGCAGATAGTTGTCGAAAGAAGGGCTAAAAATATTATCAAACATTCCTCGATGCTAAAGTCATCTACTCACCATGGTGTTAAAATTACGAGTAGGCCATCTTTGAAAAAAAAAGAAATTGAAAAAGAAGATTTCAGAGAAACCGAAGATCATACAAGGGAAAGAAATGAACAGCAACCAAGGGCATTAGTTACCCTTGCTGAATTTTTACCTGCTAATCCCCTCAAGAAAAACTACGAAGGAAAGGAAGAATGCTTTAGTTGTTTCATGACTTCGTATGAAACCTCTGAAGAAGCAGATCAAACCACGCTGCATATTGCACCAGTCATTCCTGATAAGTTAAAAATGACAGAAATTTCAATTTCTTCAAAATGTTTTGCAGTGGAAATACCAGTTAAAGCAAGTAGTTCTAGATCTCAGCAAGGACAAACTTGTGCCGGGGACCAATCACAGCTTGATGTATAGGCTCATTTGAAACGTATCCCAGCTTTTCTTAATATCTATGATGCTATGCAAATGTCAAAGGAAATTAGAGAAGCTCTCACTGTGGCTTTAATGAGGCCCGAGATATTCAGAACCAGTTTTGAGCCAGCAAACGCAGCTATTACATCACCAAAAAATTGTGCTTGCTGTTTAACAAGCATCACATTTGATGAAAATGATATGATGCTTGGATCTGAGTTCCACAACCGACCACTTTATGTTAGCAGAGAGGTTGGAAATACATTGATCAACCGAATTTTGCTTGATTGTGGCTCAGTAGTAATTTTTTTTCCTTTAAAGACACTTCATATTATTGGAATGAGTGCTTGACAGTTGTCTCCATCTATGCTGATAATTCAGGGTTTCAATCAAGTCGGACAAAGAGCCATGGGTACCATAGCATTGCAAATGGAAATAGGGGAACTTTATTTTGTTGCCCTTTTTCATGTCATCGACGCTAACACATCTTACAATGTGCTATTGGTGAAATGACCTGACCCAAATTCCACTTTGGAATCCAGGTCGAATCCTGTTTAAAACTGACACTTGGTGGCTGTGGGTTGTAAATGACCAAAATACCTTGATAAACAATAACACAAACTGGAGGACTCCAACTTGTGGCTGCACCTGCTAACTGTAGGCTATCTACGTACCCTTTCTGAGGGATCAAGTCACACGTAATGAACTGTTTACAGTAAACTGCTCTAGGGCTGACCATTTTGGAGTATCCGGGACTCCGTTTTACGATCCATCAAATACTCTACGATCCTAGGAACGTTTAGATTAACCTATCTGAAAATGGTTACAATCCAACGGTGCAAAACTATTGAACCCGGAAATCACACAAGATGTGAGATATGTTAGGGGTTCAAACGTTAACCAAATTGAGATCTGCAAAATCCTACTCGCTCGTGACGACACAAGGATCATTCTAAAACGGAATGTAGTCTCCACCAATCTGCCCACGTGCCAGCAGCGCGTGGGTGGCTTGATCAATTTTCGGCGACCGGAAAAACTCCGAACCGCCAGCCCAAACTCCTAACTTAGGTAAAACACACCATTTGGAACAACTTTTGTTCTTGGACATACCCAAAAAAGTGGCCGAAACTAGCCGGAACTGTGCTCTCAAAATCACTGAAACCTAACTCGTAAATCGAGCTA